TGTCCAATGAACTCAACAACATAATCTCCCGCACCACTGATGGTGTTTTTGAAGGTGTGGCCATTGGTGGGGACAGGTATGTAGCTGTCTTTTTATCTGCAGCATGTCCGCATGTGAGTTTGGATTGATGTGTAATTTCGGCCTTTTTCTGCAGATACCCAGGTTCTGTGTTTACTGACCATGTGCTCCGCTACCATGACAGTCCTGGAGTAAAGATGATTGTAGTGCTGGGAGAGGTGAGGAATAAATCTACGTGCACGGGTGCCTGCAGCAAGCCAACAGTTATTGATTTTCTACATCCTGGATCTGTCTCTGCCTTCTACAGATTGGAGGCACAGAGGAGTACAAGATTTGCCAGGCTATTAAACAGGGCAGGATCACAAAGCCAGTGGTGTGCTGGTGTATTGGCACCTGTGCCACGATGTTCTCCTCAGAGGTGAGAGGGCAGATGTTGAGTCTGGTGCATTTCAGGCACTGTTAGGCAGCTGCATAATGAAAGATGTAAGAAATTAAAGACATTTCTGACCGAATGTCCCCCCTAGGTTCAGTTTGGCCATGCAGGAGCCTGTGCCAACCAGGCCTCTGAGACAGCAGTAGCTAAAAACACTGCTCTCAAGGAGGCTGGTGCCTTTGTCCCCAAGAGTTTCGATGAGCTGGGAGACATCATTAAGTCAGTGCACACTGCCATATGCATTCAGTTCATCATGCTAACATATTTTGTTAGCGTTACTTTGTAATTATTCCTAGCTCATCTTACAGTCTTCTGTGTCTTTTTCATCCACGCAGATCTGTTTATGATGACCTTGTTGCAAAAGGAGTTATCCAGCCAGCCGAAGAGATGCCTCCTCCCACTGTGCCAATGGATTACTCTTGGGCGCGAGTGAGTATGTCTCTGAACACACCTGAACGAGACCAGTATGAATCAAGCTTTGAGCTATCAGATGAGGGCAAAGTAAAGCTGAAATAAATTCATATTGTTTTATAATGAGACAGATGGATCACAACGAGTACATGGAGTGAAATGTTTGCCTTTTTTTCTTCTTGCTCTGCAGGAGCTGGGCCTGATCCGTAAGCCTGCTTCCTTCATGACCAGTATCTGTGACGAGAGGGGTCAGGAGCTCATCTACGCAGGCATGCCCATCACAGAAGTCTTCAAGTCAGAAATAGGCCTGGGAGGAACTCTGGGGCTTCTCTGGTTCCAGAGGAGGTCAGCCTCTAAACCTAGTAGCCGCAATGAACAAACTCTTGAGAAATCCTTGAACCACATAACCATTGTTGTTTCCCTCTCTGTGTGCAGGTTGCCGAGGTATGCATGCCAGTTTATTGAGATGTGCCTGATGGTGACTGCTGATCACGGCCCTGCTGTATCCGGAGCACACAACACTATTGTCTGTGCTCGAGCTGGCAAAGATCTCATCTCCAGCCTCACCTCCGGTCTCCTCACCATCGTAAGAAGCTTAAATCTATGATGCATGTGATTTACTGACCTGCAAAAGTCCACCATAAGTATGTCTTTTTCCTTTTTGTCACTTTTCAGGGTGACCGCTTTGGAGGTGCTCTGGACGCTGCAGCAAAGCAGTTCAGCAAGGCATTTGACAGCGGCATGCTGCCCATGGAGTTTGTCAACAAGATGAAGAAGGATGGCAAGCTGATCATGGGCATTGGACACAGAGTCAAGTCGGTGAGTACCACGGCTCCTTAGCATATGTGTATCCAGTGTGGACAGCAGCAGAATGGGCTTTAAATCAGAACATCACAATATTAAATAACCTAGGGAACAGAGCTGTACTGCACTGAAGAGAGCTAAAGATGGAGGAAAATGAGATTGATGGAAGGAAGATTTTGAATGAAAGGGAATCCTGTGCTTCCCCAGATTAACAATCCAGACATGAGAGTCCAGATCTTGAAGGACTTTGTGAAGCAGCACTTCCCCTCCACCCAGCTGCTGGACTACGCTCTAGATGTAGAGAAGATCACCACATCCAAAGTAAGATTTATCCCTTCATCTCGTCATTCACAGCCTTTACTAAATGGTGACACACTACATTTTTAAATAACATAATCCTCCTTTCCCTGTGTGTTTTGTTGTAATAGAAACCCAACTTGATCCTGAACGTGGATGGTTTCATCGGTGTGGCCTTTGTGGACCTGCTCAGGACTTGTGGTGGTTTTACACGGTGAGCCAATAAGTGCTGGCCATCTTTGCAATACTTACATTTATACAGTTTATTGTTCCTCTTGAAAAGGAACACATTTACTACATTTAAGACAAACTAGAGAAATAGGCTTTATAGCTACATTTCTATGTTGAAGTCATGTAGCAGGAGAATGGAGGTCCAAGGTTGTTTGGCAACTTCAATCTTTGTTTTCAGGTATCTTCTCCATAACACCTTGGAATAATTTAGAGCCAAATGTACACAAGTATAAGGCTCATGTATGTAGTGTCAGCCTGCACTTCAGTCATTGTCAATATGTTTGTGTTCTGTATAAAATATCTTTGTCCATCATGCCCACCACAGAGACGAGGCTGATGAGTTTGTGGAAATTGGAGCTCTGAATGGCGTCTTTGTCCTGGGACGTAGCATGGGATTTATTGGTGAGTCATTTCTGCTATTTTAATGTGTGCAAGATGGCAAACACTTCTGCCTTGTATGACAATCAGTCCTTCCTTTTCACATCTCCTCAGGACACTACCTGGACCAGAAGAGGCTGAAGCAGGGTCTGTACCGCCACCCCTGGGATGACATATCCTATGTGCTCCCAGAGCACATGTCCATGTAATCAGAGGGACTAAAGCAGAGAGTGTCGGCCCTCTGTCACCCCAGTCCCTCGCCCATACTGTGATCTGTCACCGCAAAGCAGTGGCATAATATAAGAAAGATGTTGCTATTACTATAGCTGCAAATTGCAAATATTAAAAATAGGAGTGTGCTATTAGTTTTGGAAACCTGTTAGTGCTGCAGTTCTGTGTAAAACCTGATAAACTGTGAAGCTCCGGTCAGGGTCTGTCAATGTGTTCGGGAGATTTGTAGATGAATCGGGTATAAAGGTGAGGGGGAAAAAGTGGATTATTCAACTACTGACCACCACCTCTCTCTCATGGCTAGTCAAGTACTGTTATTTAGCCACAAATATAACACCATTGTTGTATTAACCAAGCATGTGTGTCTATATAACAGACTGTCGTGTCTTCATTGTGCCACTTGAGAACTGTGAGCTTGCCACAAGGGTGAACATGTAGTGCAATAATGCCTATAATACGATAACATACTGTAGATCAGAGCTTTATTTATGTATATGTGTAGAAATGATGACTACTAAATGGTACAATGTTATGTTTAGAATTTTCGCAAATGTTTTTGACACACTGGCCAAAATGAAACATCAGTCTTACTGCTTACTGTGACAAAAGGGACTATTTTAGGACTATTTTATGAGTCATTCCTGGCCTCTGTTGGAAGTTAAGTATTGTTGAACAAAAAAATAAATGTCATTTAAATGTTTTTTCTTTCTGTAGTTAATTAACTTGATTAGGATATTTTGCAATAAGCCCCAGAATACACTTATAGTACCATCTTCTTTTTTTTTTTCAAGGTCAACTAGGTCTTGATATTGTGAATATAAAGGCACTTATCCCAATACAATAAGATGAATTATTGAATATTTCTGTCGCCACTGCAAATAATTTTAGGAGTTAAATGCCGTCATATATTTTATATTCACATGATGTTCCATCCATCCATCTTCAACTGCTTATCTGGAGCCAATCCCAGCTGACATTGGGCGAAAGGCGGGGTACACCCTGGACAGGTCGCCAATCCATCGCAGGGCTCACATGATGTTACGTCTTCATATTTAAACTGCATCTTACTGTTTCATTTCTCTGTTAAAGTAGTACTTTAAAGGTCATTACAAACCCATTAATACTCACTGCCTTATTTTATTTGAACAAAACCAGTGACTATGACTAGATACAAGTCTCACCTTAGGATATTTGACACACCTTTCAAATTCCTAAGTTTGTATCCAATGGAGAGAAACTTTATGTGGACAATCTGCTCATAATTGTTAGACTCTTGAGTGCAGGAAGAAAAACTCTCCTCTTAAATTCTGAAATTAAGGAAAATTATACATTTTCCCTCAATTCGTGAGTTTAAAAAAAGTGTGGCAGCCATCATCAGTGTCATATTTTATGTGAATGTTACAAAACTAGAAAAGCTCTGTGGACAACCAGAAATCTCACACAATGTTTTTAACTGTTTCAATGTGAACTAAACGTGCCTCTGTATTGACTTGTGTAATGACAACTGTGTAATTGAGTAAAATAAAATGCATTTAATCTAATGTGATAATACAATATGTGTGTTTGTGTGCAGCATTATCTTTAAAATAGTATAGTTAACTTCCTGGAAATATTAAATTGTTAATAGACGGCATGTGTTAGGGTTGGGAAACTTACATGGCTTCCCTTTTAGATCTACAACTCTTGCACATCCTTTATCTCTTCAGACTCACTTCAGCTGCTCCACTCTGCTTGTTACAAACATGCTTAATATACACGAGTTTTAAAATCGGTAGAATTTGTAGAATGTGCATTAATAACTCTATTATCTGCACTATCTCCCTTTCATCTAATAAAACACGGGTGTAACTAATAACATGATGATAATGTTTGCACTCCATGCAGGTATGGCTTTCCATATGCAGGTGCAATCACTCAGTTGCAATCCCTGCTAGGCCTGAGTGGCTCGACCTTCCATGAACCTGCGGTAAATTTGCGCATGTCAAATGTCAGCACAGGTTTCTCACCCTGTGTAGGGCTCAGCCCGGCAGAGGGAACCCACGGTAACTAGGCTGTGGATAAAAGGTGGGCGCTGACATCGACGTCAAACCGACGCGGTTACGCCTTTCACCCACTGCGCATGTCAGGGATTATGTCTGTTTACCAAGCTGAAGTCGGTTCCATATTCGTTGTTTCCTGAACACCTCCAATCACTTTGACACAGGAAACTGTGCTAAAAGGTAAGATTTGTAACGTTTTTAGCTTGTCGGTGAATGGTAGCCTATGTAAAATAACACCATAGTCATTGTGCATACTTATAACTTAATTATTATAATGTAGATATAGGTATTGATGTGCTATATTTGACACCAAGGATCAAGCATCAAGGTAGTTTATTTGTCACTATACAAAATACAGACACAACCATAATAATAATTTAACATGAAAATCAACATTTTGCTTAATATCAGTCTAAACTAAGGCATTTAAATTAGAACAGTGTGTCATTTGAGATTTAAGCTAAACTCCTTCCCCTTTAAGTGACGGATATGACCCCACGAATGCAAAACGCGCTTCGCTGTCGCTCTCTGTTTTGACTCCATGTATGTGGCTGCGTATGTCACCTCCTTTCCTTCACTAGTTCAATTCATTCCCCACCACTGCCCACCTCCAGCGCTGGCAGCAGAATGGCAGCGGCAGCCCCCAACCCGGAGGACTCTGCCAGGAGCAGCGGTAGCGGCGTCACCGGGACACCCAGCGCCCTTGCCGGAGACGGGGACGCGGAAGAGACCGAGGACTTCACCTCCTCCTCCCACTGCTCGGAGCTGTCTCGGCGGCAGAACGAGCAGAGAAAGCAGGGCTTGTTCTGCGACGTGACGCTGGCCTTCAGCAGCGGGGTGGCTACCGGGAGCGTCCAGAGCTGTGAGTTCTCAGCCCACAGGTCTGTCCTGGCTGCGGCCACCGATTATTTCACCCCCCTGCTGGGAGGACAGTTCTCCGAGTCCTTGTCCGGACGGGTAGAGATGAAGGAATGGAGCTCAGAACTGGGGCCGGACCCGGATACGGTGGAGAGTGTCATCCAGTTTATGTACACTGGAGAAATACGCGTTAGCACCTGCAATGTACATGAAGTACTGGAGCTAGCTGATAGGTATGATCTGTTTTCATTAACATTTCTGTGTGTGTGTGTGTGTGAGAGAGAGAGAGGGATTCTGAAAGTCAGAGCATGAAGCCTTCTGTGGCACTGTGTTGCCAAAAAGTATTGTTTTTGTGAGCTCTGCTTACAGAAAACAAGACTGGCCTGGCCTAACCAATCGAAACAGAGTGGTGTTTATCTCGTTAACAGGACCTGCTCATTCTCTGACATCTTTTACTGTATTTTCTCTGTATTAGATTCCTCCTGCTGCAGCTAAAGGATTTCTGTGGCGAGTTCCTTAAGAAGAAGCTGAGCCTGACCAACTGTGTGGCGGTGCACAGTCTAGCCCACATGTACACCTTGGACCAGCTGGCTCTACGGGCTGCAGACATGATCCGCCGCAACTTCCACAAGGTAATCCAGGATGAGGAGTTCTACACGCTGCCCTTCCACCTGGTCCGTGACTGGCTCTCTGATGCAGAGATCACAGTGGATTCTGAGGAGGTGCTGTTTGAGGCTGTGGTGAAGTGGGTGCAGAAGAACCCGGAGGAGCGAAGCCGTTACTTTGAGGAGCTGTTCCGCCTCCTGAGGCTGCCCCAAATCAAGCCCACCTACCTGACCAGGGTGGTGAAGAATGAGCAGCTGGTGGCTGCCAACGAGGCCTGTCTCCGGCTGGTGTCAGAGGCGGTGGAGGGCCACGCTATTCGCTTTGAGAACCTCAAGTCAGCTGACATGGAGTTCTGGTCCTCCCACATGGCCTCCTTTCAGCCTCGCTTTGGCCAGAACATGGACGTCATAATGGTAGTAGGGGGTGTGTCAGAGGGCGGGGACTACCTGAGTGAGTGTGTGGGCTACTTCATTTACGAGGACCGTTGGGTCAACTTGCCGCACATCCACAACCACCTGGATGGCCATGCCATCGCTGCCACAGAGTCCCACGTCTACGTAGCCGGTTCTATGGAACCAGGCTTTGCTAAGACGGTGGAACGTTACAATCCTAATCGCAACACCTGGGAGCAGGTGAGCAACCTGACCACACGCAAGCACTCCTTTGGCCTCACCTGCATTAAGGATATACTGTACAGCATCGGAGGCCATGGAAACTTCAGTCCTGGTTTCAAAGACGTAAGTGTGTACGAGCCTGAGCAGGACAAGTGGCACAATCTGGAATCTGCCCCCAAAATCCTGCGGGATGTGAAGGCAGTGAGCGTGGAGGATCGCTACGTGTACGTCACGGCGCGCACACCTGTCGATACAGATAATGAGGACGGACTGAAGACGGTGACCACGCGCTATGACACAGAGAGCCGCCAGTGGCAAGATGTTGAGTCCCTGCCCCTTATTGACAACTACTGCATCTTCCAGATGGCTGTGGCCTCTACTAACTTCTACCACACCGCCTCCTGCTGCCCCAAGAGTTACACAGTGAGGGATGAGGTTGCCAAGCAGAAGATCAGCGTGCGCATCTCTGATGAGATCCTGGAGAGCCTGCCACCGGAGGTTACCAGCATCGAGGGGGCTGCCATCTGCCATTTCGATGAGGACGTCTTCATCATCGGAGGCTGGAAGAACAGTGATGATGTGGACAAGCAGTACCGCAAGGAGGCCTACCGCTACTGTGCTGAGAGGAAGCGCTGGATGCTGCTGCCGCCCATGCCTCAGCCTCGCTGCCGAGCCACCGCCTGCCATGTCCGAATCCCTTACCGTTTCCTGTATGGCTGCCAGCGCTACCCCATGCCTCAGAACCTGGCCCGCCAGCGAGATCGAATGCAGCAGATGCAGCAGCTTCACCGGCGCACGCTCACCCTGCGCCGGCAGCTCCAGTCGCAGATAGAGTGCTGAGCAAGCCGGTGTCCATCCAAGAACTGCACGGCTCTGTCCGAGGATACACTGCAAGCCACCGTTCCATTGCAGCCATCTTCATCTCTCATGTTTAACATGCTGCAGCAGGTCTTGTGTTGCTGTCATCCTGGATTTCATTGAACTGAACTCTGTGCCGTCGGCTTTCATGCTGTGTTGTGTTAATGGCTAATTTGTCGAAAGCCATGAAATGTGTGAGCGGGTGTGTACCGACCAACAGGTGGTCTGTGAGGAAGGATATGGCGGATGTAAACATGTGAATAAGAGTGTTATATAGCAGCCAACAACTGAATATCCTTTTGTCAACTATGTTGGTATAGATGCTGTTTATCTGTTTGTACATAAAAAGTAAAAAAAGCTGTATATGTAAACATTTATATGGATATTTTACATTCCTTTATTGTATGCCTATACTGGAAAGGAGTTGTGGCATTACTAATAACTGCATTCCTACATTCAATCCAACTTGTTTAATGAAGCGTCATTCCATTGTAACACTGTGACAATCTCTTCATGTAACATTGGTTCAAAGGTCCAACTCTAGCTTATACCATAATTGCTCTAGTAGAATGGCTCTGCTTGTTACTGTGCAGCCTCAACTAAATGTGAATTAATTCAGAAAGTCTGATAGTCCTAAAATCCCATAGATCCTGTAGTTTGCTTTTAGATTTCCCTTCAACAGTTGCATTGAGAATGAGAAGTAAATCATTTTTGTTGCTCATGTAATACTTGAAAACTAGTAATCTTCCGTGAGGTTTTTGAAGAGGTGAAATGATGAGAGAACTGTAATGTTGAAAAGATGTGATAAGGCGAAACTAAATCATTTCTGTGAGTTATCTTAACATCGAAACATTCTATTTGGCCACTGCATTAAGCACCGATCATTGGCAATGGCTCGATCATTCCTTTTGCACTTTTGCCAGTCTATTGCTCGGGAAATTCCCATTCATTCAAGAAAAATACATTGAACATGTGTATATCTGTGAGTGCAAGAGTGTGTATGATTTGTGTTTGCAGCGCTTCTCTAGAACTGCACTTTTTTGACATTGTATTGTTTGGTAAGTCTTAAAGAAACATAGGGATTTAAGTTGCCAGTGCACTTTGACTTTGCTCAGTTCATTTATTTCATTTCAGACGAGGTGATTGTATTTTGGAAATTATTTGTTTTAGCCAGCTCCAGACAGTAAGTTTTCTTCTTTGAAAAAAAACATGTTATCATTATTTGCAGATTTGTTTCCAGCCACGTCTGGTAAAACCATGTGTTACTGTACTTCACTTCTAACTGGGTGTATATAAGAGGTCTGCCATGTTGTTCTGTGATCTCTTTTCAGTCTCCAAATAGACTTAGAATTGAGATGAAAAGGAATCTGACTTGTAGGCTAAACAAAAGGGATTGTTATATGAATGTGTTGTGACTGATATTCAGAAATTCCCACTGTCCATGCAGCGCCTATTACAGCATAAAGGTTACAGAGCGCAGAAATGATATTCATTTCCAGTTTATGACCGACATAAATCGCACTGCAAATATATAAAAGTGGAATAAGCTATGTAAGTTGCTTTGCATGTGATAGTCTGACATTGTGTCCTTATATTGGATGTAAGAAATACTAATGTCATCACTTGCATTAAAGTTGTTTTGTAAAACAGATTGTTGCACACAGTGATTTTTTTTAATTTACCTTTTTCTAGTTAATGGAGTTAACAGTCTTATAGTAGATGCAGGTTACATCAAGACTTCTGGGTAGTAAATTACTATTAATGGCTTTGTTGTTATAATGAGAAGCTACTTAGGGAAGCATGCTCTGGGTAGGTACACCACATTCTATAATGTAATATGTGGTAGTCTATTCTGTTATGATTTAAAAATATTCTTTTTTGAGTTTAATTCATTTTAAATGTTTTCAATTAAATGACCTAGAGCTATGTTTCACCTTTTGTAAAGTGCCCCTGTTTCAGTACCGCAGAGGAAACCCTGTGGGAAAGACGGGGTAGGAACCTTATATCAGTGCCTTTGCATTGGGGGGAAGAGTTCAAATGTCCCATCTGAAGTACGACAACTCTGCCTCTGATTGGCTGGTTGTCGTTGCCTCCGTTGGTTAGATTGGTTAAGGTTAGGTTTTAGGGTGGAGTTAGGATTATGATTAGCCAATCACAGGCAGAGTAAGGGGCCGGACTTGACGTAAACCAGGGGCGAGTTCAAGTTCAAAACCTTTTGCACCGGTTTGCAACGTTTCAAAGATGTCGTTTAATCCAAACACTTTGCAAACCGGTGCAAAATGTTTTGAGATTGAACTCGGCCCTTGTGTCCGTCTAGTGAGTTTAGTGCTGCCTTCACGTGTTTCTCATAGCCTCGCACTTGTGAAAACATAATACGAAAAGAAAGGTCAGATAATACAAGATATCAAGTGTCTTTACTTTTATAATAATTTGATATTAAAGTAAACGTCACCTCACAGTCACTTGGAAATCATAAAAAAATGTTCTGTCTTCCACTTTGTTTTGTCATAAAAGTGCGACTTCTAAAGATTCCGACTTTTTCCACAGTACGAGAAGGCAGCGCCCACCAGACAGAAGAAACATTCATCGAAGCCCGTTGCGGAACGTTGCACAACGTTTCAAGGAAACATGTCGTTCAATCCGAAAACGTTGCAAAACGTTGCGAAACATTTTGAGATTGAACTCGTCCCATGGTTCTGTCAACGTAGTAACGTTAACGGTGCACAATCAACCCAGACCGACAACCGTTGACACGACTCTTGTCAAAAATAACCATAACAGATCGGCAATCCATTTCAAGAAAATGGTAATAATATACAGCTAGTTTTGCATCCTAATGTACAACTTGTATAGTATCTAGCTAAGTTCTGTGCTACTGTGGCTAACGTTAGCTAACGTTAACTGACGTTACGCGGATGTGTTTTTGTTAGCTAACAAAAGTAAATTACTGTAAAGAAACACATTATCATTATGGCTATAGCGTGTGTTTGTTTTTTGTGTTAACGTTACTGGTGTATGTTGTACAGGGAGTGTAAGCTCGCTAAATAGGGAGTTATTCAACTTGGTACTAGCAACTGACTGGTAAGCTTATTGTGTCTCTCTAACAAGTCTTATTGACACACACTTGCACCTATTTTCAATGCTAAGATTCCAGAGTTGTCCAACCCCTCGGTGTGTATGAGAGACCCTCAGAAGGTACAGGAGATCCTGCAGTCCATGGTGAGAGCTGGCTCCAACACCGTACAGGTAAACGAGATCTAGAAAAGGTTTCATTCTTCTTCTTCTTCTTAGTTAATGGCGGATTGCAAACAACTTTTAAGTGCATACCGCCACCAACTGTACTGGAGTGTGTAACATCATATCACTAAGATATCAACCTCAATAAGGTGGTCTCATATTCTGTTCACCAACCCAGTGTCTTTAAGAAATTTAAATAATGCCTTCCTGGTGATTCTTATACCCTTTTCTTCTCCTTCTGTTCCCAATACCCCCATCAGATTCCATTCCCTCCCTGCTTCCTGAACCCTATCTTGAAATATCTGTCTTTCCAACTCAAACAATATGCAGTGCAAAATGATATGTTCAACATTTTCTTTAACCCCACAGTTTTCACACTTTTCACTATTCCTTTTCCCCAATAAAAACAAGGTGCCATTCAGTCCTGTGTGATCTACTCTTAGTCTTGTCATAATAATTTCCTCCCGCCTGTTCCTTTCGCTATAATTGTTATTACTGACAGACTTTTGTATTTTAAAGTAACTCCTGCCTTTCCTGTCTTCCTCCCACCATTTCTGCCATATTTCAGTACCTTTCTTCTTAATGGCTGTTTTTCCTTCTCCTTTTCCTAGAGGTATTTGAACTGTTATTTCCTTTTGTAATGCCTCTTTTGCTAGTTTGTCTGCAATCTCATTTCCATTTACTCCCTCATGAGCTGGCACCCAGCAAAACTGATCATCTATCCCTCCCCGATGTAATCTTAATAAGCTGTGAAACATTTCTATCAGTAGGTCTTCTCTGACAGATGTCATTGACTGAATGCTTTTAATAACTGCTAAGGAGTCTGTGCATAATATCACCCTATCAGGTCTGACTTCTTCAACCCACTGTAAAGCTATAATGACTGCCACTATTTCTGCTGTATATACAGATAGCCTATCTGATAATCGTTTTGAGATATTTATTTTGAATTCTGGTATATGTATTCCACTTCCCACACATTCCTGTTTGTTTTTAGATCCATCTGTATAGATTTTTAGATAATTATGGAAACTGTTTCTCAGATAGCTGCTAGTCCGTATTCCCACTTCCTCTATTCCCCATCCGCTTTTCTTTTCCAGTATACTAAAATCTGTTTTTACGTCTGGATAGAGCCAAGGTTGAATGTTACTGACTGGATTGGGTGTGGTGAAATCTAATGCTTCCATTCCGTATCCTGACTCTCTTTTCCCCCGTCCATCCAAACCCATGCCCCCGAAACTTGAAATACTCCCAACAATCCTTTGTTATCTCCTTTGCAGGGTTTTCTTTCCCACTTCCTTTCAATCTGACCCAATATGCTAGCGCTAGTTTCTCTCTTCTTAACTCCAGTGGTGTCTCTCCAACTTCTATGAGTATTGTGTTAATGGGAGTTAACAGGTTTCATTGTCTCCGTTTGAAGTATTTCGAAAGTATTTGTCCTTTATGGACAACATGAGTGTAGTTTTTATTCTTTTCTATTTTTCATCTAGGTGATCTCAGATTTTGACATGACCCTGACAAGATTTGCATACAATGGCAAAAGGTGTCCTACCTGCCACAGTAAGTCCACTCTCAAGTAAGCTGGGAACTGTCTATAATGTGATGTTTCAATGTCTTGTCTGGTTTGTTTTTTATGAGGACCCCAGGGGAAATAGTTAGGGTTACTTTAGTAACTAATGGGGATCCTAAGTAAACTCCATCATTTTCTGAAAAGCTAGAGTTTGAGGTTGTCATGCATTTGAAAGGTTGTTTCATGGCTGGGTCATTTCATTTTGTCTGTGTATTTTGTTTGCAGATATTCTTGACGACAGCAAACTTATCTCCAGTGACTGCAAAGAAAAGGTAGGAATGGCTTTAGTGCAAAAGGTGGGCTTTCCATTGGAAGCACTAATGCCAATAAGTAGTCTTTATATAAACATTTACCCCCACATGTAAGCCACAGCAGAAACATCATAAATGCATTTTCAGCTTCATCTACAAGTGAACTACATGTTCAACATTTTAAAAATATTTATGTTCAAATCTTAAGCAGTAGACTACCTTCAAACAGACAGTATTTAACTTATAATTTCATGTGGTGAATCATTTTGTTTTCATTCATTGTCACTCATATTTTGTGTGTCTGCCCTCTAATGGGCAATAGGAAGAATTAAAGAAATGTGAAGGGCTCTTGTTATAGTCTTATAGCGCACATATTAACATGTTTAAGAGATTGCCCAGACATTCAGTATTGTAACCAATGGCTAGAAACACAACACCCCTAAATGTACCCTAATGGTTCCCCTCTGAATCCCCGAGATAGAAGTTCCCCGAGATAGAAGTTTGCAAGATGAACATAATCTCTTAATTAAATTGGGTCAAATGCAGCAGTTTTCTAGATGGTTACTCGCCAATTACAGTTTTCTGAGCATTGTCCTGTCACCGTCAGCTGAAGGAGCTGCTCAACACATACTACCCTATAGAGATCGACTCTTCACGGTCAGCAGAGGAAAAGCTGCCCCTTATGGTGGAGTGGTGAGTATCTAATAGAGTTTTTACTACAAATATGATATTCTGTACTTGTAATGTGTTCATAAAACTGTGCTGCATCTATATCTCACAGGTGGACTAAAGCCCATGAACTACTAGTACAGCAAGAGATTAGGAAAGACCTGTTGGCTGTGGCTGTGCGGGAGTCTGATGCCATGCTGAGGTCAGAAAACTCCTCCTTCTGGAGACCAAAAAAATCTATTTGATAGTTTAAATATTGATAACAGTTCATAATAGGAGTTATTTAACTCTAATAATGAGTTGGTGTTTTAACAGGGACGGCTACAAGCTCTTTTTTGACCACCTCAATGAGCACAGCATCCCTCTGCTAATCTTCTCTGCTGGAATAGGAGACATCCTAGAAGAGGTTATTCGCCAGGCTGGGATCTTCCACCCCAACGTCAAAGTCTTCTCCAACTACATGGACTTTGATGAGTCTGTGAGTAGCCACACCACAAACTAAGATTAGATGCCCACACCGGGTAATGAAATAAATGTATTTGACCCTTGATCTGCTGGTACAGGGAGTGTTGAGGGCTTTCAAGGGAGAGCTGATCCACGTCTACAATAAAAGGGAGGGCGCGCTTCTCAACACCGGCCATTTCCAGGAGCTGCGGACGCGGCCTAACGTGCTACTACTGGGAGACTCTCTGGGAGATCTGACCATGGCTGACGGGGTGCAGGACATGGAAAACATCCTCAAGATCGGGTTCCTGAATGACAAGGTCAATAAAAAGAACACACTCGCATGTTCATTAAAATGGTTACAATATTCAGTTCCTCCTGCCCTGAGATGAAACGTCAGAACTTGCATACATTCACATATACCCTCTTAACACTTAAGTTTGACTATGTTTTAAAATCGTATTCTGACTTCTCATCTGTATTTTATTTTCTCTCAGGTGGAAGAGCGGAAGCAGTCCTACTTGGACACATATGACATTGTGCTGGTAAAAGATGAGACCTTGGATGTCCCTAATGCTATACTGCTCTACCTCACTGGCAATAAGTAACCTGAGAAAGTTTTTTTGGTGGGGGGGTTCACAACAAATGTGTCATTATTCTTCTTTAATTTACAAAATGAATCGTTGACAGCCGCACCTCAGGCACGCCACATCTCCCTTTTATATCTTTGTCCACCGGTCTTCCTCTCGCGTTTATAGTTAAACTGCTTTGGGACCATAACTGTATGTGATGATTGATCTGATTCTGAAAGCCAGATTTGTTCTCTGTGTACCTACTGTGCAGCGGGTTGGTATGGGTTTGTTTCAGGGAAAGGCCTGTTGAGAGTTTTGGTCTTCATATAGGATGTAATGATAAAGGGAAAGAAAAACGCACAACAGAAATGTCAGCACTTGACTGAATTTTAACCTGAAACCTGAAGTTTTAAAAAATAGTAACAAAACAAATATTTTATGTCTTCAGGTTCTGGTCAAGCATGTCTTTTTTTTATGGAAACTAGTGTTTTAACACCTCAGTGCTACTTTGTGGTTAACTATGACAAAAACACAAATATGTAGTAACTTTCTTAAAGTAAGAACTAACTGCTACCTCAGTGTTACAAAAAAAACCAATGTAGGATTTTTGATATTTGGTTAGTACTTATTATACCTTCACAGTCATTGTAGCTGTACGGTTTTGGAAAAGCTGATTCTTACTTTCTGCAAGGCAACAAACAAAAGTTTCCAAAACCTTTATAACTGAGGATTAACATTATTTTCTTCTTTTGACCGAGCACATCACCTCTTCATATGTTCCAACTTGTCTCAAGTAAAATGTGGTTTCATCTGTTGCTTTGTCACAGTTGTCCTATTTCATTAACCTGATTTTAATGAATAAAAAATGTCTTCAATGAAATCCAGGCAACTGAATCAAAGTCTGCCAGAGTAATTTACAGGTCCGTGTCTGTACATGGACAGTGTGGAAGAAATAAAGTAGGTGCTTTTTTTTATTAGAAAACAGTTCATGTTTCACAATACACATAGCATTTTCTGAAATAGAGTTTCTGTTATTGTACAAATGAGCCCAAATATACTGTACAACCAGTGGTTTTTCATCATTTTTACACGAGGCTGACTTTTTATATATAAAATGTAATATTCTGGAACAAGGGCCCTGCCCAAATGCTTTCTAAGGTAGTTCAATGTTTGAGTCAAATGTGCTTTTTCCAACAGAACACAACTTCACTACAGACAATATTTCTTCCTTTCACATTTCCAAACACCCGTGTCCTGTGCACAACATACTGACCACTCAAATACAGATGTTTTCTTGTGCTGTCAGTGTTGAGCTCCATTCCAGTAGTTAGACTAATTCTACTGTAATAGGTGTGAAACGGCAATGATATACTTTTACAAAATCTAGCACAGAAAACTGCCTGAGTGCCTAAAGGCTCAACAAGGTTTCAATCTCTGAAACATAGTCAAAATAGTTGCCTGACAGTTGCTAGGATGACAGTACTGCATGCCCATTCTTTAACACCACTGAAATACTCTGTGTCCCTTTTACAACTCGTCTCGTTTCACTTGTTCAGATGCCTCGTCCACCTTAAGTTTCAGTTCATCTTCCACAATCTTCCCATCGTTATTCCGGTCCTGGTTATTGAACATGTCCTCAATGATGCTGTCGGCATCCATCCCCGGCCGAAGGCGACCTTTGCCCTCTTTAACTTGGTCCCCGATGAACGCTGCAAACTGGAGAAAATAGCAGACAGGGTTGCACTGTTAAAAAGCATTTTTACTGCTCATACCCTGGCTGTTTTTCCTGCTTTTAAAAAGATACATTCAGCTAGGAAATTTGACCTAGTTCTTCTGCATACCTCCTCTAGAGGAACCTCTTTGTCGCCATTGAGGTCCATTGCAGCGAAGAGGGGATCAGGGCTGTCTCCCAGCCACACAAACATGTAGCCTTCAGGCACACCCTTCTGCAGCTCCACTAACTCCAGCTCAAAAAAGAGCACGGCACTCCTGGGAACTTCTCCAGCTAGAGACACCAAGACAGAGGAGAGAAAACATCATTTGGGTAGAAAACTTGTTGATGTGTGACAGTGTGATGTGAGCAGTTACCAATGACTGACCTCCATCTTCACCATGTCCCCAGTGTGGCGGAACGACCACCTCCCTCCTCTCGCCCACACACATGCCACTCAAACCTTTCTCCAGGCCCGGGATCACCTTGTTTGTTCCGAGAGTCGTGACTGAAGGTGACTCGTAATGGTCCCTGAAAATGGACAAACAACCTGTTACCACTCTTAACAGTGGGAATTTAAAAAAAATCCAAGCTAAATAAAACCTTCAGCCATGAATGCATATGTGCTGTTGTCATGTATATGTAAACGGTGTGAAATCTGCAATTTCCAAGCCCACTGAAATCTGTCAGACAAGGAGCCACAATGATTACATGCATGAACCAGGAGGAGGGTGCAGTGTAGCACAGTGAACAGCAGAGGGCGCTCACGAGGAGTACAGCAGGGTGCCGTCCATCAAGGAGCAATTGTAACGGTAGTGGATCAAATCGTCAGCTTCACTGGTCGCGTTGCATTCCTGAGGCTTGTCGGTGACTTTAATCTGAACATGGTCTTTGGGGTTGTGGAAATCAATGACGTGAATGTCAAAGACCAGCACAGCAGAGGCAGGTATGAGGTTTTCTACAGCGGGAGAAAAACAACAAACAGGGCAGTATTACAAACATAAACAAGACCAAAAAATTTGTTGGTCTATTCCAGGTGTCTTTTGAATCTTCCTCAGTGCACGTGTCAAACTCACCAACTCCATCTTCGCCATACGCCATGTGAGGAGGGATGGTAATCTTTCTCTTCTCTCCCATGCAGAGCCCATGCAGGGCTTTGTCCATCCCCCGGATCACATATCCCTTGCCGATGTAAGTGTTATACGTGCTGTTTCGCTGGTAGCTGCCAAGGGAAGCGTTAAAATCAGAGTTCATTTTTTCTTACATTTTATTGCTTTCTGAGAATGGAAGAAATCTCAGGTTTACCTCGAGTCGAAGGCCTTGCCATCCTGGAAGGTACCGTTATAGTGGTAGCGGATATAATCTCCAGTCACCGTCCTGCGGATGCAACCTTTAGGCACCTCCTTCACCTCCACAATCAGATCATCCTTAGGGTTGAACACATCAACCATCAGCACCTCGAACACCAGCGTCGCCTGGGGAGGGATCTTAGTCCCTGTTACGAAAGAAAAAGCAAGATCATTGTTTCATACCAGTCACATATATTTTACCACAATGTGGACCATTTTACAAAGCACACTTTAATTTTGAGATTACTTTCCCGACTTCCACGCAGACCTTGTTTCGGTCATGTTGGTGTAGTATGGAACTTTCAACTTGCAGTGAGTCGTGTATGACTTTAGCAATCCTTTACTTTTCAATATATCAATATTACTAATACTGCGTAAGAGTGGACTCTCCTGAAAACTACGTGTAAGGAAACATGAACAGGGTTAGAAGGAGAATGTCAATCAAAATATGTACCTTTTCAAAATAGTCTTGGCTCTCATCTGTGGTATCATGACACAATAATGTGATGAGACAAAATACTCCCTGTAATAGATGAGCCATCTAACACCCCTTTCACACTTTATTATGTAAATGTTTCTGCGAGTGTGCAAGTTTGTTTTCATACTGAAATGAAATTAAACTAACATTTGCCCATAGTTGCTTTAAATGGTCTTTGGATAATGATCAGCAGCAATGAAAAGTACATGTGATTTATAATTATTCAGCTTAAATATGCAAAACAACCACAAAATCCACTAAATATTACTAAAATACTACAAAATTATCACCTGCCACACTGATGTAATTTTTTATATGCAGCCTCTAGTCTTTAAACAGTTCAATAATCGGCCTATTACCACTGACACAGGTAAAACCCAAGTCTATAAAAGTCCCTTGAAACATACATTTATATAAACAGTAATAACTGTACTTGAGCAAATGTCAAACTATAAAACCCAAATAATTTCTTTAACAGGTCATATTTTGTCATGTGCAATTAGGTACTAAACACAGACATGTTGGACATTATTAGTTTGTACCAGAGCCATTCTCTCCATATGCCAGGAAGGGTGGGATGATGATGATCCTTCTCTCCCCAACACACATGCCCAAAAGGCCCTCGTCCATGCCTTTGATGAGGTAGCCCTGCCCCAAGTAGGTGTCATAGGTTGCATTCCTCGAGTAGCTAAAGTAAACACAATTCAAAGTTCTTGAAAATCCCAGAAACAGACAAGAGATAGCTTTGTTTTAAAACCGAACATTTCACCTTAAAAGCATTACACTACACTACACTACACATCAGCCTGACCTGGAGTCGAAGCCTGCGCCGGACAGCAGGGTGCCGTTATAGTGGTAACGGACAAAATCTGACGCCACGGTGGTGCGGTTGCAGCTTGCAGGTTTGCTCAGTGTGCGGATCTGGACCTTGTCCTCGGAGCTCCAAATGTCCAGCAGGAGAACATCGTACACCAACACAGCGTCAGGAGGAATGATCCCACCTGTCAGACAAAAAAGAAAAATCACAGATTGGTATAAACGTACAGATAATGTAACCCACAAAGTACTGTTTCCTGTGTCTGTGTGTTTATCTGCACCTGTTCCAATGCTTCCATAGGCCAGGTGCGGGGGTATTGTGATCCTCCTGCGCTCATTGACACACATGCCCTGAAGACCACGGTCCATCCCTGTGATGAGTCTGCCAAGACCGACCTGGCTGATGAAGGCTTTCCCTCGGTCATGGCTGCAGACGGAGAGGGAGAGGTGGATGAGAGTGATTAATTGATGGAATATAGTAGAAACAATATCAATAATACAGCTCTTCTTCATACCTACCAAACAGAAGGTAAGAAGAAGACCATTTAAAAGAGAGTCTCACAATGATGCCATGAAATTATAAGATGCTATAAAGTCAGCATCCAATGTTCCATCCACATCAGCAGTATTAGTTGAAAAAGGCACTTCCCTTCTCTTTTGGCTTGATTATGACTAACCAGTTTTTGTTACATGTAATCTTGAAAACCTAGATGGATGTTTGAGGCATTCCTAACCATAGACGAACTTTTCTCTACTTGCAATTACTTTTTGGACACTAAATCACTACTAAAATATAACTCATGCACAGGTTTTCAGTGTACTACCTACAGATTAGGCTGCACTGTTAAGACACAAGTCAATGCGATTGACACGTTTGCAGCTGACATCTCAGCTGCAGTGAATGTGTAAGTAAACTGGTTGTAGGACCATTTTAACCGATATAAACAGTATTTCTGCAAAGAGCTGACAGATTATATGCTGTGTGCCAGTTACCGCACGTGAAAGTTAAAGCTAACATTCATGTAGAAAGACAGACAACTAAGTTAAATTATGGGCGAACGCAGTCTAAAATAAACATTAAAAAGTAGCATTTCGCTTTTCCTTCACCTGGAGTCAAACTTTTTCCCGTCTGCGTGGAAGGTACCGTTAAAATGATAACGGATAAAATCTTCTGTTTGCACTTCTCGAGGACAAACTGTCGGTATTTCGTATCGATCGACAACAACGTCCTCTAAGGGGCTCGGGCTGCAGGTCACATTAACTACACAAAGGAAAAATACAAGCGAAGATACTATCAGATCCATTTTGGAGACTTGCGGATAATAAGTGCGGAAGCTCGCAGAGCAGAGAGAGTCCGTTTGGGTTGGATGATGCGGTTGAAGTGAAGAAAGAAGTTAAAGTACCGCTGGTCTCAGATAGTGAGGACGTGTCAAGCGTGCCGGAATAAGATAGACTACTTCCGGTTACGATTACAAAATAAATGCCTTTTGATCAGTCCTGTGAGGACGCCAACGCACAAAATTTGATCAACCCTCTGAAGGAAACAAATGTCAAAACCCCTCCAAACCCTGCAGACCCATTGGTGAGTCTGTCAGTAGAAACTCGTGCAGAATAATCAGGCAAAATCAAAGACACAGTCTTCATGTTTGAATATTTTCCTCTGTGTAACCAAAATGTAGCTTTGATGCAGAATTTATATGATACTGTCAAGCTGTGTTGATTTTAACCAGTGGTGGAAGAAGTATTGAGACATTTAACTCAAGTAAAAGTAACTTTACTATAGAACTACTTACTACTATAAAAATACTTATATATATATAAGCAAGTCTTGCATTCAAAATCTTTTTTTTTTGTAAAATTTTGTTTTACATGTAAAATCTTAATGTGAAAAATAATTAGTAACTACAGCTATAAGATAAATATAGTGGAGTAAAATGTGCAATATTTACTACTAAAATGTTGTGAAGTAGCCTAGAAGTATAGTAGCAGAAAAGTGAAATACTCAAGTACAAGTAGGCAATAGCGTACAGGACATGCATAAATGTACTTAGTTACATTTTGCCACTTAAAGCTACTTAAGGGGAAGTAAATTTAAAAAATAACTTGGTGTGAGTTGTAATTGTTTGAAATGGAAAATATGGACAGGGTTCAATTCCAGATTTTGATCTCTTTGCTGGTCAATTACCCAATATTTGGTCTTAAAGTTATAATATCTTGAATTAGAGTATGGCATGGGCTGATATTTGAGTATTTTTTAGGAGCAGTGTGCAGCAGCAATACATATCAACCTGCCTGCATATATAAATGACCACACTATAAACCATTAGCAGCTTGAGAAGAATCAACATTAAAGCTGACATTATAGAAAAACAATTATACATTATGCAAAATAATATAGTCCATTTCACAGAGAAAAAAAGACTCGCTTTTATTCTGAATGGACAATCGACAAAACTTCCGGCTTTATTTTGTCTCTCTGTCCTGCTTAACGCATCTTTCGGGTCATTTACTCCAGAGAGCAGCAAGAGGAGTGGCCCTTGGGCCCCCACCCACTTTTTAATGGAATTCTGCAAACGTGTTATGCCTGGCTCGGAGGCCTGCATTCCCCATGATTTCACTCACGTATGAGATGAGATGAGCCGAAAATCACAATGTGGCGTCCCTTAATCTGAAATTATACATTCGTGTCACAGTAAAGTGAGGCAGCTAAAGACTGCATGTGCTTTTATAGCCTATTCTACATTTTAACTAGTTGTTCACAGAGAATTGCTTTTAATGTCTGCCTGAGCTCTGGGTCCTCATAACCATCATTCTCAGACACTGAAAGAGCCTGCGGGATTATGAATGTGAAGGATAACAGATATTGTAGACTCAGAGGTTTGAATTTGCGCATGTTTCAGCTTTGCAAATGGTTTTTAAGATCACCTTCCCATGTCTCAGCATGTCAGTTTGGAATGTAGACTATAGGTAGAAATGCTAACCATGCTGAAACTAGGCTACTACTCAGAAAATATATTCCATGAATACATTAGGCCCTACCTGTCTACTGTTCTAGAGCTGGAAGTAGGCTAAAATGTACCAAATTATGATCAAATAAAAACATCCCCGTTAATAGGCTATGTTACATTTTGGTTCATGGATCTGTTGGGTGTTATGATCCTGGAAAACACAGAGGAAAGTTGGATCCCCTTCCTGAGGTCCAAACCGGGTCCAAACCTGTCTGTGTCAAGTAAGCCAGAGTCATCACCTCTAGTACCGGAAGTGTGAACGTCTTTCTTCAAGGTAATTGTCAAGAGTTGCATTTGTCAGATGCAGATACCAGTTAATTTGCACAGATTAATATTTTTTTATTTAATTTTTTGATAAGTGAAAAATGCTCATGTTTTTTTTTATTCGTACCTGCAGCCACAAAAATTATTATTATTCTTTAGGCTAAATGTTTGGCTTATTATTTTATTTATTTTACCATTTAAGCAACTTGAATGAATAATCATGAATAATTTTTTGCAGACATAAAAATTGCTTGAGATCATTCAGAACAGTTTGTCGTCAAATATTTGTGCCACCGGATTGCATGTAATGCAGCTTAATAATTTAGATGAAAAATAAATCCATGATGACCATGGTGTTCCATAATTTATCTCACGTAAGCTTATGAAATTTTACTGTAATAGCATGTGGAAAATAACGTAGGGGAGAACACAGCACAAACCAAAGCCATCACGCAAATCAGTGGGGCTTTTATTTTGAAAGTTATGTCCAGAAGTTGATGTTTGCCGCATCTACTTTGACGCGGCTTTCCCCGCATACGTGCAGGCAGACATGATCAACCTCTGGTAAAGAAAGAGGAAGCTTCTTGATCCATTCAAAACAAGAACAGTCTCCTGCTTGTGCCGGTGGAGGCGATGATGCTCCTGAGAAGCCTGTGTCTGGCCTTTCTCCTCCCGGCCCTGGCGGAGGCTCAGTATGAGAAGTACAGCTTCAAAAGTTTCCCCCAGAAGGACATCATGCCGCTGGACTCCGCGTACGGCTTCGCGCTGGAGCAGTACGCGGCGCAGAACTGGGCAGAGAGCATCAAGTACCTGGAGCTCAGCCTGCGGCTCCACCGGCTGCTGCGGGACAGCGAGGCGTTCTGTGGCCGCAACTGCAGCTCTGTCAGCCGGGACAACGACACCCTGTTCGCCGACAGCACCCTCCGCGTCATGCGCCACATCCTGCTGAGGGCTGCCTGCCTTAAAAAGTGCAAGGCAGATTTTCCAGTGTTTAAGCTCACATACCCACGGAGGGATGTGCTGGAAACCTTCGAGAAAAGGGTACCGTATCGGTACATACAGTACGCGTACTACCAGGTGAGACCAAAGGGTTGATGTGTCGAGTGTTGTGCCAAAGACTGGAGTGCAAAATAAATGACGGCCTTTACCACTAAACTCTGAAGTTACACCAAATACTTTAATGCGACATGGTCTCTAAACTCAAAAGTCCCAAAGTTATTTATTATATTGTATAAATACGATATGAAGTTACTGCAAAACATAAGTGCGATTTGGCCGATATAAACCCAGTAAACCTCAGTATATGTGGATTTAGCATGAGTAACTGTGCGTAAGGGCAAAAAAAGTATCTGCAGGTCCCTCGAAGCTCCCTTTGACTCCCCCAGAGGAGATTTCTAGGTAGCGAGATGTGCAGTAATTTCCCTGCTGCTTTGTTGCGCCCCCCTGCCGACCTAGCAGTAGTTGAGCATGTGCCACGTCCCTTCCAGTGTTCCACCGAAACAATCCCCTTATTCTTCCCTGTCAGAGCGGCTGAGAGGACTAGGTGTGCTTACAAGGCAAAAACGCCGATCTCCTTTTTGAGTTCCATAAAGTGCGTGATGATCTGTGTTATTCAATATTCATTCTACTGGTACAATGAAGAAACAATTTGGCTTGAATTGCTGTGATCCTTCAGAAGCTAGATGTCTTGTTGACCCCATCAGAAGACTTTGTCTGAAAACCTTTTTCACTGGAGCACTTCTGTCTGGTTTCCCAAGTCTGGTAAATTAAAGGGGTGAATCAAAGCTCTCCATCTGGTGGTCAAACAGCAGCCCATAACAAACATGCTTTTCAGAAGTCTTACAGGACTTTCTGTATTCGCTGCATGACACTGGACCATGAATAGGTGGGTCCTACTAGATGAGTGTGTTCTCTACATTCGGTTAATCTTTTTCCTCATATACCTGCTATTATCTCTTCATTAGTTTCACATTTCTGCATACAACAACACATTCGTTTTTTCTTTAATTGTTCAGTGTTCTGACATCAGTGGATCCCTATCTGCTAGTAACTGGAGCACAGGGGTCAGAGGTCACGTTATCAAGTGAACAGTGGTGATGACATGAGCTGGTGTTGTCAAAAGCCCTTCATGCCAGTGAGAGAGAGGGTGTGTCAGACTGGTATCCATTGTAAATCTATGTATTCTTCCTCAGCTTAACAACTTGGAGAAGTCTGTGGCGGCGGCCCACACCTTCCTGAAGAAGAACCCAACGGATCCCTACCTGACCAAGAACATGAACTACTACAAGTCACTGTTAGATGTGGAAGAATATCTCATCGACCATGAGGAGCAGCCGTATGAAGTAAGTATGATTGACGTTGTCGTCCTTAGCCGGTGTGCAAATGAAGCGCATGCAAAACTGTTCAGATTTCTAAATGCTAATCTCTCTCTTTTTTTTTAATCCAGAGTGTTTTCCTGAAGAGTGTGACGCTTTACAACAGCGGAGACTTCAGCAACAGTGCCCGAAACATGGAGCAGGCCATCACACAGTACTTTGAAATATACAAGAGCTGCTTAGCAGGCTGTGAGGGTTCATATGAGATCTTAGAGTTCAAAGACTTCTATCCCACGCTGGCAGGTAAGACGAGAGCAATTTAAGGACAGTTTCAGTTCAGTATGTCTTTAGATAAAATAATAATCTTTGGGGTTTTTTTGCTTCCTTTTTCCCTCCTGCTTCCTTCAGATCTCTACACCGATGTGCTGAAATGTAAGGTGAAATGTGAAGAGAACCTGACACCCAGCGTTGGAGGCTTTTTTGTGGAGAAGTTTGTAGCCACCATGTATCACTACCTGCAGTTTTCCTATTATAAATGTAAGAAGGCTGTTGCTCTGGATTCAAGGTTTTGACAGTAATCGGTGTTGCACCGTTTTTAACGTGTATTATTTTGTGATCCTTTACAGTGAATGATGTAAAGAGCGCTGCTCCGTGTGCAGCCAGTTACATGTTGTTTGACAGTAAAGACCAGGTGATGCAGCAAAATGTAGCGTACTATCACTTCTACCGGGAGCAGTGGGGACTGGAGGAAAGTGACTTTCAACCTCGGCCTGTGAGTGAAACAAAGACTTAATTACTATTCTCTGTTGGTACTACCAGGACTTTGGAGGTTGAA